GTCATGGCCCTAGGCTGGGTGTAGGACTCACACCCATAATCCAGCAGTACTAAGACCTATAATCCCAGTTGATCATGAGTTAATCTCAAACTCTTGAAGTCCCCGCCCCATGGCCGCATGAGGCTTTAGGGGGACAACTAGACACAAACCATAACACCATTGTGTATTAGAAGTGTTTGACTTTCTTTTTGATTTTTATAGGGGCTCCCAGCTAGCAATTTGCCTTAAGTCTCAGAGAAGACTTTGTACTTGGATTTTTCAGTAATGCTGGAGCTGTTAAGATTTTAGTGATTCTAGAGAGGGATGAATTGCATTTTGCATAATAAGAGGGACATGAGCCCTTTGGGGTGGGGCAGGATGTTATGGGTTAGATCTAGAGTGTCACTCTGCAAGTTTGACTTTTGGTAATGGGATCTGGTCAGAGGTACATCGCGCCCGCCTGCCCGCCTGCCTCTGTGTCTGTTTCTGTCTCTGTCTCTCTGAGACTCAGCTCCCAGAGGCCCTAGGGACCTATCTCATGGAGGTCCTGGGATACCCAACACAGGGTATGAAGCTGCGTGCGCCTAGATCTTGGGGACCCTCTCCCAGAGGTCCTGGGGGCCCTCCTCACACAGGCCCTAAGGCAGCCTACGTGTGTCTTTCTGCTTTGTTTTCCCTTTGTCCTGTCTCTGGTGTCCTAAGCAGGGGCAAGAGCTCCTCCAGAGACTCAGGGTAAAGGAAAACCAGGCCAGACCTGCACCATGGGAAGTCTGAGCTGTGCACCAAAGGGAGAGTGTGGGCTGGGCTGCGGCAGAGCCCGTGGGGGTGCGTGGGGGAGGGGCCCCTAGGAGAGCAAGGGTGGCAGCAGGGGAACAAACAGGTCTCTGGGGCACGTGTGCAACGTCACCCCTGGCCTGCTGGCTCAGAGGACAGAATCCAAGACAGGCTGGAAGTTATCGTGCAGGGTGGGAGCCCAGCCCGCGGGAGGCTGGGACCGGCCGGACCCCGCCGCCTTCCTCCTCCCCCAGGCCTCCAGCCCAGCGCAGCCAGACGCCACCCACCAGGGGCGAGGGCACGTTATCAGATCGTAAATAAGGCAGCTGGAGCCGTCCGTGTCAACGTCTTGGCGGCTGCGCAGGGCACCATGAGGAGGGGCTACCCACTGCCCGCTGCGGCCCAAGTGGCTGCTGAGGACCAGCCTCCTACTGGGGCTTAGGAAGCTGCCTCCCCTTGGGCCCAGGTCAGCCCCCACTAAAGCACATGCCTGTGTATGGGGGGCTAAGGCACCCCAGGATCTGCCTGCCTGAAGCCGGGCAGCCACAGGCTGCATATCACTGGCCTCCCTTTCTGACCTGCAGAAGGGGGTCCATTGCAGTGCCCTCATGTCCAGCCCAGAGCAAGACGTGGAGGGCATCATCCCCCAATGGGCTTGCTTCTCTGGATCCCTGTCGCATCAGTGATGAGCCTGGGGAGGCTTGCGTTTGCTCTGAGGACCTGGCTTGGCCCAGGTGGGGATGAGGCCCAGCCTGGCTGGCTCACAGGGAGGTGCCACGGTGGCGCTAAGCCGTGAGCTACAGGAAGGTGGAACAGGAAGCTGGAGACCTGCTAGATGGCCGGCCAGCTGAGCCCCACAGGGCAGACAGCCCAGGCCTCCAAGAGGCTGAGCTGCCAACGGCTGCCCACCCCAGGAAGCACTGACACACCAGCCACAGGCCACAGTCCCTGGAATCACGGGGACCTGGGGCCACGGAGCTGGCGTCACTCTTCAGGAGAGCGTGCTGTCTGACCAGTGCTCAGCCCTGCCTGCCTTTGTGTGGAGTCCTGGCCATTTTCCACTGGTCAGCTGCTCCTGTCCTGCCTGCACTGTCCACGAGCCCTGGAGAGAGGCCACCAGTGCTCTCAGACGTGTCTGTGGTTGTGACATAGGCCCGCAGTGAGGGTGTGTGGGACTTTGACATCCTTCCTAAGATGTCCCATCAGCTTCGGTGTTTTTGGTGACAGTACTGGTGCTGGGGACAGATCTGATGATGGTGGCAGCAAGTGGGTCCTTCTAAGAATGTCCTTACTTGGTCAAATAAGGTGCTGCCCCCCACGTTAAGCATTTGGTATGGGCTCTGCAAGGCCTGCAGGGTCTCACTGCACAGATCAGATCTGTAGTGATTCTCTCTCTTCAGCCTCCCAAGCGCTGGCATTACAGATGCGCACCAGCACGCTGTCTCAGTTGCTGCATGCCGCACTCTGCCTAAGCAGTTGCTTTCGTCCTCTGAGCTATCTGGCCTACCAAGATGCTGGCCCTCGTGTCACTTTTCCTGCACGACTGTCCTCACTCCGACATGCCTCGCTTTGCATATGGGTGCCTTAGAGAACTCGCACTCCAGGGAGGTTGGGCGGGCCCTGTGTCCATCCCCAGTACACACAGAAGCCAGGGGCCAGGCGTGGCCCTCATGCACAGCCAGGTACATGTGACCCCGCAGCAGGCACCAACATGCATGGGGGCAGGAGGGGAGGTCCAGCCTGGAAACCTTTTGGGGTCAAGACACCGCACAGGGTGAAACAAGACCCCTTTTTCTGCATACCACGAACCTGAGTTCTGGGTTTCATCTTGGTCTCCTTCCTTCCCCAGGGCCAGGGCCACCCTCCAGCTAAGGGGACAGACATCCAGGCTCAGCACCTCTCCTGCCCCAAAGGTTATGGGAAATTGGCCAGGTAACAGGCAGCAAGGTGACCTTTTGTTCTGTCCTGCCCCTCCTGACAAGGGGCCTGGGCTGCCCTCATCTCGTCTGGTGGCTTACGGCTTATGGCACGGGTACATTAAATTAAAGCCCTTGGCCTGGCCAGTGCCCGCCTGGAGGGCGCCTTGGCCTGTTGCCTGTAGCTAGGACTCTTCCTCTTTCACGGATGGGGTCTTGGCACTGGGCTGGTCCCCGAGCCCTTTCACCATCCAGCCTAACATCTCCCATCTGAGGAGACCTCACCCATCCCGCACGCATATGCTGCTGTGGTGGGGCTGGGAGCCGTGCCCGAGGGTCAGTGCCTGGCACAGATGTGTATTGGGGGCCTTCCAGGGACCTCCGTGTGCACGGGTGCATCACATACCCCCCACAGATGGAGATATGCAGGCTTAGAGGGAGGGGCCTGGCTGACCCGAAGGGCTGCCAGGATGAGCACCGCAATGGGGACTGGGCTATGACCCTGTGCCCGGCCCTCACGCAGCCATGCGGGCCTGGTATTCTTATCTGGCAAGCGGAGCTGCCTCACAGACCCATCTTGGGTGCTGAGGTCTGGCGGGGCCAGTCTGCTCTGGGGAGGTGGTAGTGGGCCGCTGGCCTCATTGGGTGGTAGGACACTTGGGGAGTCACTGTTCCTGGCTGCTCTTAAAGACTTGGGCCAAGGTGCGTGGGGTATGAGTGGCCAGGCAGGAGCTGGGGAAGCACCAGGCCCCCTCGGCCAGGAGACCACTCACCTCTGTGCCTGCTTCCTCACCTGAGAAGGGGCCCTTGGGCAGGTCCCAAGGCCTCAGGCCAGGACTGGTGGCAACATGCCCAGGGAAGAGGGCCCAGCACCTGCTGTGCCTGCTAGGCCCCAGGAGGCTCAGGGGTCCACACCTGGGCGCTCACCCCTGGGGTCTCTCGGGCCACCCCTGGGCCCAGGCATCTTCCCAGTTGGCGCGAGGGCTCGGGAGCTGCATCCCCATGCGTAGCACCAAGAACACCATGGTAGACCAGACAGGGTGCTTGCCTGGGTCCTCACTTGGGCCTGGGTCTGTGGATGTGGGAGCCTGGAGGTGGCAGGGCAGTTGGGCAACTTTCCCGAGGTGGCAGGCGCGGGGGTCCCAAGTGGGGATGCTGTCACTCATGTTGCCGTACCCCAGGCCTACCTGTCCCACACTGAGCACTGGCGCCTGCTGTCCTGCTCTGCCGGGCGTCCATTCCCCACTGAAGACCCAGAAGTCACTGCCTGACACAGAAATCCAGGGGGCCCGAGGCACCAGTGGTTGGGGCCACTTGTCTTAGAAACTCAGGGTCCCCATGTGGACACCAGACCGGAGACTCCAGGAGCTGGGCTTCTGGGAGATTCTCGGTTTAGGTACAAAGTTTTAAATGAGTGTCCACTGCAGGCTGGCCTATGGCCAGCTGGGTTATGGCCGATTGGCTATATTTCAAAGACTTTAAAATCAAGGAGTTTTAAAGAAAGTTTTGAATGAGAAGAATTCACATGTGAAGACCTCCAGGTTCCTGGCTTCCCTGGAGCGGTCAGGTCTTAAGGAGAAAAGCAGCAACTGGATGGATGTGGGGGTCAGACGTGCCCCAACCTTCCAGCAGGCACGGTGCTCCCCGCTGCTCCCCAACATCAGGTCCTCATCACTGGGCTCCACCTCCCAGCCTGCCCTGGTGTGACAGCACTAATAACCGTGCTGGAAGGCTCCCAGCCAGGCCAGGCCGGGAGGCCCTGTCCCCCCACCCCAATAATGCCCACGTCCCAACGGGTCCCCAGACATGTGACACTGCCCGTAAGAAGTGGCCATGTGCAGGCCGTGGTGACGCACACCTGTGATCCCAGGACTCAAGAGGCTGAGGCAGGAGGATCGCTGGGAGCAAGCAGTCAGCCTGAGCTCCATGTGAGGCAAGCCCCTCCCTGTCCGACATACAGTGGCCATAATACACAGATTCAGTCAGACCAAGGCCCTTTACTGCCTCTTTTGTGAAGCCACCCACATCAATCCACAGGGCGGCAAAGACGCAGTGTGGCCGGCTCCCCCTTGGCTGGTGTCCTGGTACAGAGCAGTTTACACATCTGCTCCTGGCAGTCCTGTGCCCTTAGGAGGGGAAGGCTTGTGTACCACAGTGCCCTCCCTCCACGTGGGAGAGGAAGACCTTGAGGCCCCAGCAGGCCCCATGCCTAGGGTCCCCCAGTGCTGCTGGCGTGGCCTCGGGTGTTTCACTCGGAATCTGGGATTTTTTTTTGTCTTTTTGGGTTTGTTTTTGTTTTTGAGACAGTGTCTTGCTATGTAGTGTGGGCTGGCTTTGAACTCCTTGTGCAGCCGGGGGTGACCTTGAACTCACGGAGATCCTCCTGCCTCAGCCTCTTGAGCACCATGCTGGCTTGGAATGCGGGTTTCACAGGATCAGGTGGGGAGCCTTCCCCCGCTGCTACAGCCTGCACAGCTGCTGCGCGAGTGCTGACGAGGGAATTCAAGCTGGCCTTGGCTGCAGGGTGTCCCTTGACATCGGGCGGGGCTGAGTCCTCTGCTGGCTCCTCTCTCCTGGGAGAACCTTCCCACCACCGCTGATGACACTGTGACTGCCTGACTCAGTCCAGGGGGCCGGTGTCTGTGGACAGGAGGGCCCCAAGGCCTGCAGGCACGGTGTGGAGCTGTGGGTGTTGTCTGGAGGGGCTCCCCCAACACCATGCTGCCTGGGGAACTAGGCCAAGGCCAGGGCACACCAGGCCTCCTGGCGCAAGGCCCCACTGAGGCCAGCCTGGGGGCCCAGGGCAGAGGATGGGAAGGCAAAGTCCTCAGGCTCAAACTTGAACTCCAAGTGGCTGGGAGCCAGGGGGTCATCCGCTGGCTCAGAGGCCTGCAGGAAGGAGTAGGTGAGAAGCAGGTGTGGCAGGGACCTTGTTGGGGTCAGGGCCCTCTTTTTTTTTTTTTTCCTGGAACCAGGGATTGAACTCAGGCCCTTGCGCTTGCCAGGGAAGTGCTTATTCCTGAGCCATCTCCCCGGCCCTCGGTCAGGGTCCTCTTGACAGAGCCATCTGCCCCAAGGCCCCAACCCTGGAATGGAGTGGGGACGGTCCTGGGAAGGAACACAGGGCTGTGGGGGTTGGGGCCACCATGTACCCTGCCCAGCTTGGGCACAGACCCTTGGGGACAGCTCACAGTGGCCGTTGGGCTCTGAAGCCCTCAGAGGAGGGGGCAGGGTCCTTGGGGAGGGACAGACCCAGGCTGGCCCCTGCCCCACTGTGCTCCTCACCTGAGAGGCGACACTGGGCCTGGCGCACATGGGGGATGCCAGGCTGGGCTCCGACTTCAAGGTGGCTGCTGAGCTCTCGGTGCTGGGGACAATGGGCGGGGAAGCTGTGGCCTGTGCTGTGGATCCTGGGGGCAAGGAGGCACCTGCAGAAGGGGCGGAGCCACCACGCCACCCCTCCTGCCATGGCTCAGCCTCCCCCTGGCTTGGCACAGAGGCTTCTCTCAGGATGTGGGGAGTGTGTGTATCTCCACCCACTCTCTGCACCCTGGTGGCCAGCTTGGGACAGGGTCATGGTCGCCTCCCAGCTCCCACGAACCTGAGGAGCCCTTGGGCTTGGCCACATTCTTTGGCTTCCGCTTCCTAGTCTGGATACTTTCCTTCTTCATTGCCAGTGGCCTCGGCACCTGGTGGGGACAAGGCGGTGGGCTGCTGGTCCCCCAGCCTCACTCACTTCTGGGGCCTCCTGCACAGTCTCGAAGCCCAGCAAAGCTGGTCCCTGCTGGACGCCCCGGCCCAGGCAGCTGTGCCCCCACTGGGAACTTTCTCCCCAGCCCGTGGGGGCAGCGGCAGTGGTGGGCGCCCATCCCACCTCCCGTGGTGCTGTCAGGGTCCACCCAGGGAGGAATGGCGGGGGAGGGCCAGTCCGCACAGCGGGCACAACACAGCCCAGCCTGGAGGCCGGGCGCAGCGGCACTCACCCCATGCAGCTTCATGTAGAGGCCACAGGCGTTGCACACAGGCTCGCCCTCTGTGTTCCGCCGCCACAGCGTGGTGTGGGTGGTGTGGCAGTTGGTGCAGCAGAGCCCGGCACGGCGGGACGAGGACTGTGGGAAAAGGAAGCTGGTGAGGCCCATGCATGGGAGTGGCAGCGGCTTGCTGGAGCAGGAGGATGGAAGCCGGGCTCTGGACGGAGTGGCAGCCGGGTTGGGACCCTGCAGTCTGGCTGAAGCGTTGGGTACAAGGTGGTGGGTGCTGCCCTGGGCCGGCCTGGCAGGACCCAGCCCTTGAGCTGGGACAGCTCCCTGCAGCTTCAAGGCCTCAGTTTCCCCACTGCTAAAATGGTACTAGTAATCTTACCATAGGCTGGTCGTGGGTTAGAGCTGGTAACAGCCTGGCACAGAAATGTCACTGTCATCTTGTGAGTTCTCTGAGTCACCCATGCTGTGTCTTGGCTCAAACTTCTGGGCCTGAGGGTGGGGCTCAGGGGCTGCTCCCTCTGAACAACTCTCACTAAAGCTAGGCCCCAGCACACATCTGGCTCACATCGGCTCCCCAGGGCCCTGGGACACAGGCTGAGGGTACCAGGACTCATCTGCCCACATCTCCTGCTGCTGAGTCCCAGGCCTGGAGTCAGAGCAGGACTGGGCCTCTGAAAACTTTGGCAAGCCCTAACGTGTCCCCTCCTGCCCTGGCTCCCAGCAGATGGACTCTTAGACCTCTGGCAGTTGGAGCCCCTGGGGCTGAGTTCAGGATCCTTAGGGCAAGGGAGTTGGGGCCTAACAAGGCCTGGTAGGAGCGGGGTACTGGGCATGTGGTGCTGGCTGCTTGGGGTCTGCCCTGTAGGCAGGTGACAGTGTGCTCTCCACTCTGGGTCCAGCTGCCTCTCCTGCCTGTCTTGCCCTCAGCATCCGATGTAGCCCAAAGCCTAGCATTCTGGCCAGGCTACCCTGGGCACCTCCGCTGGAAACCTGCCCCCTTCCACCCAGCACTGCCCCTCCCAGCCACCTTCCGCAGACCTGTTCTCCAGCTGGCCCTGGGCTGCCCACTGGTGGGACTCCTGACCCAACTGTCCCCTTTACTCCATCTGAGCAGCCTCTGGGGTGAACTGCAGGGCTCCTACTTGTCTTCCCCTCAGCAGCCAGCAGCCAGGCCGAACAGCAGCACCTTAGGGCACAGGGACAGAGCCCACAAGACCCAGGTCTTGCACCCCAAGCCATGTCCTTCCCAGCTCTCTAGCCCAGGACAGAGTCAGAAAATGAGGACAGACAAACCTAGTGGAAAGAACCTACCCTGTGGCATCAGGGTGCATATCCATGGCAGCCTCAGTTTCCACACCTGTCGGCACTCTGCAGAGTGCTTTCTGGGCAATGGCTGAGTGCGTCAGCCTTGCCAACCATCTCCGGTCCATCTCCCCCTGACCAGCCACGCTCCCCAGTCCACGGGGACTGTGTCCCTGCCCCATCCCCACACTGTGGGCAGCTGTCAATGGCCTGGACAACTGGGGACTCTGTCCAGGCTCCAAGACAAGAGGAGCAGGAAGAAGAGAGAAAGAGGCCAGGGAGAGTTCCTGTTCTGCTAGAGGGACCTAGGGGGCAGCAGTTCCACAGCCTCCTGGGGTGGGGGTGGGATTCCCTCCTGTGGGAGCAGAGGCAGCTGGTGGGTATCCCTGGAAGGAGCTCTAGTCCCCAAGTCAGCCAGATCTCCCTGGAGGGTGGGCCCAGGATTGCCTGCCCAGCCCCTCCCTCCCTTCCATCCCCTCTGCCCTCCTGGTGCTACCCATAATCCTCTGCTTCCCAAAGTAGGAAGGCCTTGGTGCCTCTGGCAGGACAACGGCTTAGCTCAAACCTGGGGACACCTGGCTAAGCAGAGAGGACACGAGCTGGGCGTGGTGGTGCTCGCCTATAAGCCCAGCACTTGGGAGGCTGGGGCAGAAGGGTCATTGCAAGCTCAAGGCCAGCCTGGGCTCCATACGTGAGCTCAAGGCCAGCCTGAACTGCATAGCAACACCTTGTCTCAAAAAGACAAAAAATAAAAACAAACAGAAACAACGCGTAAAAAAAAAAAAAAAAAGAAAAAAGAAAAGAAAGAAACAACGCGTATTTTGTGCTTTCCCATCGATACTTGGTGGAAGTACTCAAATACCTGTGTACCTGCAAGCCACATTGACCTGGCTGTCCTGTATTTCACTCCTTGCCCCGCGTCCCCACTAGTTCCCCACCCCCTGCTGTCCCTGCAGCCTGAGGAGCCCTGGCTGGAGGCCCTCTCCAAGCCAGCAGGACCCTCAGGGACTTTAACCAACATCCCCTCTCAGCACACAGCTACCAGCCACAGGCAGCAATGACAGACAAGCGCAAATTGGCAAACTGCATGGCTTATGAGCAGAGCGTGCGACGTCTGCCTGCCACCCGCACATGGGCAGTGGGCGAGAAAAATCTAGAAGCCACACTGGGTATTTTTACAGTGTTTTACCTTCTGTTTTTGTTTCATGTTATTCTTCTATAAAATCACAAAAATGGGGAGGCAGGGAGAATGATCTCAAAAAAATCCAAACTGCCTCCTCTTTACCTTTCCTTATCAGCTCAGAGCTTGCCTCTGTACAGAGGAAACTAAGGCTTCCGAGGTTCCGAAGCTGCCCCTCCGCTGCTTTGCTGTAGCCCTGCCAGGGTCCCTCCACTCCACTCCCAGGCCGAGGGCCGGAGCCTCCATCTGTCCTCCCTCACTGTCTGTTGAGGAGCCAGGCTGGGCCCGTCTCGGCCGCCTAATGCTGCCCAGTGGCCAGGCCTCTGCTGTCTGCATTTCCTTTTCAAAAGAAGCTGACCTTCCGAGCCTCCAGGCGCCTGGTCCAGACTTCCAATAAGCCACTGAGGGGAGGCCCCCAAGACAGGGTGGGCGCACAGCTAGCATCAGAGCCGTAGGGCCAGCCTGGGGCCCGAAATGCCTCCATGGCCAACGAGTCCCTTTCTGGAGCCGGCACAGTGGACTTAACTGGGTAAGAAGCGTGTTCCTCTGTGGCCGGGGCAAACGAGTCCACAAGAGCTGTGCTGTGCAGGTCTGTGCAGGAAGGGGTCAGTGTCTGCGAGCGGTAGGAGGTGGAGGCCCATGGAGGGTCGGGCCATGGCCATGGCCAAGGTCCCTCAGTCCTGCAGGGCACTGGCCACTCTGGGGGCCAGCCACGGGCAGTGGCCTGCTGCCTGCTCTGACCTCAGCTGCCAGGCCCGGGTGTGTGCACAGGGAACCTGAGGACAAATGGGTGCTCCCACAACTGTTCTCTTCCCTCACCACCCCAACAGGACCTGGTGTTCAAGTGGCTTCAGAGAGGGGAGCACGCAGGGTCGTACCCTGGAGGAGTAGTGCCCTAGCTGTCTTTCTTGTCACTGTCCTGTATTCTTAGTGACACTTCCACAGCCTTCACACAGGGTCAGGATAAGCTTTGCTAGGGAGCCCCTCTGGGGTATCAGCTCTGGCTACACTCATGGGGTACAGCAGGGGAGGTCTGCGGAGGTGACCAGCCCAGCTGCTATGGCTGGGAGCCACCTGGGCCCAGCTCCGGCCTCAGGGTTCTTGGAGTTTTGGGCCTCCCCAACGAGCCTGGCTCTGCCAGGACCAGCCAGTGGGCAAGTGGTCGGGCTGAGCTCCTGAGTCATGTGGTAAGAACCCTGGAGGAGGTTAGGGGAGGACCCCAGGGCCTTCTGGGGAGATGGCGGCGGTGGGCGCTGTGAGGGTCTGACGTGGCAAACACCTCCGGGCTGTTTCATGATCAGGTCTGGATGGGCCTGGACACAGGAGTGACTGCATCCCCACCATCCCCACCCTCCAAGGCCTGTGGCCCTGGGGACTGTAGCAGGTAAACAGAGGTCCTCTACCCAGGAGACAGCCCTACAGCTATAACCCACGTCTCCCAGACCAGGAAACTGGCCACACTGACCCAAAGCCAGCCCAGGCCTCTCCAAGCTCTCTGTACTGCTATGATAATGCACAGGACAATGCCAAATTCACCTCCCACTGCTCGGGTAAGAAGACCAAGTCTTAGGATGCTGGGGGCTGTCCATGCCATCCTACACACCTTGGTTGGGGTCCAAGCCTGGGCTGGAAGGCCTGGGGAAGGGGTGGTCAGGGCCATCTAGGACCAGCTGCTTGCAGCTGTATGCCCCAGGAAAGTTGCTTGGACTCTCTGAGCCCGGGGTCATCCTCTGAGCTGCTGTAAAGGCACATGAGCTACTACGTCTCGGTGCTTAGCTGGTGGCTCCCAAGTCAGTAATTTTCTGGTGGGAGGAGAGTGGGGATGTCCATTCTGCTGTCCCCAGAGAAGACAGGTCAGCCAGGTCCCGGGCCTGGCATGAGGGTAGAGGACAGAACCAGAGGAGGGCTGGCCTGAGGCCTGGAGGGAGCTGTGAGTGACTGCTAGGGTACAGTCCCACAGGACCTGGGTAGCCCACTTTCCTCATCATGGAGGCCAGGGCCAGCTCCCTGGAGAGGGCAGGCATGCTGCCCAGGAGCCCTACCTCCTTCCCACCTGCGTGCTGGAACTGGAGGGGCTGTCCCAGTACAGGTGGTGGCCCCCACAGACTAGAGCACCCCAAAGAGCCATGGCCCAAGCATCGGCGCAGGCTTCAGAAGTCAGAGCAGGACCTCCTCCTCCTCGTCCACAGGACTCCCTCTCTCCCTGGGGACCTGGGCTGGTGGCTGGTGCTACACAGGGTTCACGTGGACCCAGGTACTCCCTGCTAGGCCCGGCCCTCATCAGCACCAGCCAACCTGCACACAACATCAACACCCCCAGTGCTCAGTTGTGAACTTGGACTTGGAGATCTGTCCCTGTCTGGGTCAGAACAGAGCTGCTTTACACTCCTGTGCAACTTCTGGTGACACCAGAGGCCCTGTCCTGACATACACACACTAGGAAGAATCCAAAGTGAAAAGCCTCGCTCACCAAAGCTGAGAAGAATCATAGCAGACTAGGTTCCTGGAGTCCAGGAAGTACACAGAAAATGCTCCTCAGGGGTCACAGATCAGACAGCCTCCCACTGGGGACCTCATCCCTGCCCTGTTGCCTGGAGGCCCACCAGTAGGCCAGGCTGCCCCTTGTACAGAGGCCCCCAAAGCAGGCTCCACCAAAAGCCAGGTTTTGCAGGGAGCGGAGCACTAATTCCTAGAGAGCAGAGAACTGGGGTACTGAGCAGGTATCCCCACTAGGAGCCTCCCACCTGACCCCTGCCTGCTCCTGCAATGCCAGAAGGGAGCAGAGCTGCCCAGGCTGCCCACACACCCTGGCACACTTAGCGCCCCCACCTGAGCCCTGGGGTTACCACAGGCCGGGAGTGCAGAGAGCCAAGCGCTCCCTCGCTGGGCCCTGCCCACCTTGGCTGCCCCACAGCCCGCGGTACTCACCAGGCGCTTCTGGGGCCGCACCAGGGGACGGTTGACACCATTCATCTTGTGATAGAGGCCACAGGCGTTGCACAGGTAGTGGCCGGTCCCGTCGCGGCGCCAGAGCGGCGTGGACAGGGCGCCACAGTTGACGCACTCACGGCCCTCGCCCGGGAACTCCTCGAAGAAGTCGGATACTGCAGGACAAGCAGTTCTTAGTGCTGAGCCAGGACAGGGCCTGTGCCTGCCCCGGGGGCCCAGCCTTCCGCGATTCCTTCTCCACCCTTCTTTAATTGTGACTTAAACTTACTCTATTCACACATTTATGTGCTTAGTGTTACTTCATTTTTGCTTTTAATTTGCACATAATAAAAGCCATTAGCCTCTCTTTCATCAGGTAGAAGTGTGAATAATAAACCAAGCCTTGGGGCGAACACCTGGGGCGGCCCCTCTCAGATCAGGGTCCGGCAGGGTATTTCTGAGCTGCGCGGGAAGCAAAGGAACCTCCATCTGCCCAGGGAGAAGGGCACAGGCAGGGCTCTATCTAACCAGTACCTTCACTCCAGGAGGTGCTGCCAGCCCTCCCCGGGCCTTCTGCAAAGTAGGTGAACCTACAGGGGCTAGGAAGCCACACTAGTCTCAAAATCTTAGGAGCAGCTGGTGGCTAGGGCAAGGTGGGCGCATGCCTGCTATCCCTCTGCTAGGGAGGCTGAGGCAGGAGGGCTGCCCCAAGGTCGAGACCAGCCTGGGTTACATGCATAGTGAGTTTAAGGCTAGCCTGAACTACACAAGTAATACCCTATCTCAAAAAACAAGAAAATGAACAAAAAAATTTTTAGGAAGTCTCCAACCTCCTGTCAGCTTTGCTGTGGTCGCACGCTGTCCCCTGTGCTCCCTCGCCAGGCAGAGCAGTGCCGCGGCGGCTCAGGGGCGAAGGGCTCGCGGGTCCCCCCCACCCCCACGCCCGGCCAGGCGCCGGCGGCGACACGCAGGCGGCAGGGGCGCCGGGAGGAGGTGGGGCAAGCAAGGATCAATCAAGGCTCGGCCGGGGGTGGGCGCCAGGCGCGGGGCTGCGTTGGGCGCCAGAGCCGGGGTCCCCGCTGCTGAGCCTGGGCCAAAAGGCCGCTCTGAGCAGCGTTGAAGCCCCAGAAAGACGGTCCGGGGATCCCCGCGGCTCAAGTAGAGGTTTGGCCCTGGGCCTCCGGGCCGTTCCGTTCGGTGCCGCGAGCGTACTCAGAACCCGGAATCCGATGATCTCAGTTACCCTCCCGCAAAGATCGAAACAAGGTCTCAAATTAGAACGCACACATTCTAGAACAGATAAATGAGTGCGGCGACTTACTTAAATAATCTAGTATTTTTAACTTTATAAGAATCCTTTGAAAAACTTAAAATAAACACACACACACACACACACACACACACACACACACACAAAACGTTGAAGACGATCCGGAATTCTGGTGGGGTTTGTCTGAATGATGGGCACTTTCTGTCCCCTAGACAGAATTCGGATGCTGTTCCTCATCGCAGGCCTGGGCACCGTGTTCCCAAGGTTCATGGGTCCGGGGTCGCGCTGGCCCTGAAGGCCCGTGAGAAGAACCCGCACTTCATTTCGCAGGGTGCGGGTTTACTCCAGGGGCCAACATTCTGGCCCAGGCCCACTCTCCCGCAGCCCCAAACTCACCGAAAGCCGCCCTGCAGCCTCCAAGTCCGGCAGGGCGGCCCTGCAGGCCATGCAGGACGCTGCCCTCGAAGGGGCCTGCGCTCCAAGAAGGGGCCACCTCTGGGCTCACGTAGGCGGGGTAGGTGCTGGGGTACGAGGCTCCCACGGGCCGCCCGAGTGCGCCCGAAAACTGCTCACGCGTCAGCAGCGCGCTCTGGTAGGCGCCGCCGTCCCGGGCCCCAGCGCTGCCGCTACCGGGTCCCGCAGGCCCGGGAGGGCTGTGAGCGAAGGGAAAGGCGGAGGTCCCGGGCGGCGGCGCGGCCGGCGGGTGCGGGCTCCCAGGGCCGAAAGTGGTGGAGTCAGCGGCGGCCGGCGGCGCCCAGCCGGGGTGCGCGGCGAGCGCGGGGGGCTGCGGGCCTGGCTCGCACGCGGGCAGGTAGGGAAGCATGGAGGGCACGCGTGACGGCGGCACGAACATCGCAGGGCCGGCGCCCGGGGCGTGCAGGAAGGCGCCCGAGTCGGCGTAGGCGGCCTGGCCAGGGCTCGAGGCCAGCGCCAGGCTCTGGTACATCTTCCCCGCGCGGTCCCGACCTGCAGCAGCGGAGGGCGGGAGTTGTGGTTACCGCCCCTGGGCACCCCGAGTCCGCGCCCGCGTCGGCGCACGGCAGGTGCCCCGGCTCGGGGAGCACCCCTCGGTCCAGCCGGGACCCGCGGAGCGTCAGGCGGGAAGGGTGCTGCCCGAGAGGCCGCAGGCCGAGCTCACCTCTTCTCCTCGCGGCCGCTGGGTGGCTCGGCGAGGGGCTGGAAAGGACGCGGCTGGACGCCCGCGGGCGCAGGGCCTCGCCGCGGGACGCGTGGCTCCGGGGGATCGCGGACGGCGGAGAGCGTGCGGCCGCGGGCTGGGGTGGAGCACTCGCTCGAGGGTCGGAGGGCCGGGAGGGCGCGGCGCTGGCACAGAAGGTCGGCGACCGGAGGGCTGGAGACTGGGCGCCGGCCGAGCCGCTCCGCTGGGAATCCCGCGCTCGGGCCGCCCCTCCGCGCCGCCCCGCCCCCGGCCCGCCCTCCGCTCCCGGAGCCGCCCCTCTCTCCCTGCCGGGTCAGGGCCCGGGCTTCGGCGGCCGCGCGGCGTGATCCCAGTGCAGGCCCGGCTCGCGGTGTTCCGCACCGGGCACCCACAACTGAGTGTGGACAACTGCAGGCGACACGGGCGGGCAGTGTGCTCGGTGGGGCCCAACACTTGCCTGAGTTTGTTCATGGAGTTCACAGGTTCCAGAGCTCGCTGCTTGCTGCCGGGGCTCCCGCGCAACGCTGGCTTCGTGGCGGGGTTCGGGTCTTGTGGTTGAGTCTTTGATCCCAGGTGCCGCACATGCGGGCGCGGATGCTGGAGCCTGGCTACCGCTAATCGCGCTCCTGCACTCCCGGCCCAGCTCCTGATTCCCTCTTGATTGCCAGTATGGGCCTGCATTTGGGGTTCTGATCATTAAGACGCAAAATCCAACGGGAGTCCAGTTTCCTGTTTGTGAACGAGCAGGGATTCGCAGCACACGCGGGATCAGCCAGGTCCCTCTGGGCGCTCTCAGCCTGTCCCGAGCCTAGCTAGCTACGAGCCCCATCCTCGGGTGGAGCTCTCAGGAGACTCCCTAGGTGGGTGCGGGTGACCCAAGTTCTGGCGGCGGGCCTTCTTCCCACTGTCCATGGCCCGCGGTGGAGAAACCTGCTTCTTCCTCAGCTTCGCTGGAGGCTTTGGTCTCCCTGCCATCAATGTCAGGCACTGGACAAGGGGGGACACGGACACCGCACAGAGGTACTTGGGTTTGCAAATGCCTCTGGTCCGCGGAATCCCGCTGCTGAGGGCCTGGGTGCGCTGCATCTTCCCCTGGGTAGACCAAAGCCCTGTGCGTGCGAGAGGCACCAGGACCAGCCTTGGGGACTTCACCACGGAATGCGGGCTTGCACGCAGCCCCGGCACCGCGGTGCGGTGGCCAGCCCCGCGCTGTCCTCGGGGCGATCTGGGCTGCGTCCGCGTCCCTGCCTCATTCCCATGCTGAGCTCTGCTCAGCTGCAGCGCGCAGGGATTCCGGCTGCGGGTGGAGGGAGGATCCGACAGGCAGAGCCGCGGAGGGGGAAAGCAGCGATTCCCACCCAGAGCTGGGGCCTGGGGATCCACAGACGCTTGTACCGCGGGCTCTGGATTCTGCGCGCAGGGTGCGGGCGGTAGGACGGGGAGGACAGGTGTGCGCCCCTGGTTGGGGCTTGGGCGCCTCGTTTGTTGCTTTTACCCCTTTGCCCCTTCCTTCCGCGGAGCCAAGGCCCTGGTAGGTGCAGCAGAGCTGGACTCCAGGGCTTTCCCTCCCCCTGCCTCACAACGCTGGCGTCCCCCTGGCGTTCCTCCCAGTTCCAGCTTGTGCTCTCCCCAGCGGGCTCGGCTCAGCGCTGGTGCCCGCGGCTGGAGAGTGCGGCTCCCTCCAAAGGCTCGTCCCCCAGTCTGCCCCACGGGGACCCAGGCTTCGCCTGTGGAGTGAGCGGGACGGTGGTGCCTGCCCTCACAGCGGCTTTGGGGAGGGATGGGCGAGCTCAGGCTCGCGCCCTGCTTTACGCACAGCAAAGCACAGCGCGCTGGTGGAACGTCTCCGCGGCCTCTAAGTCCGGCTGTTAGGGAAAGTTTATAGGAATCCCGAAGACGTCCCTTGAGCACCCGCAAAGGGAGATGCACAGCTTGGGGGTGGGGTGGGGGGAGAGGTGCTGAGGGCCTTCAAAAGATATCTAGAGAAAAACAATCCCCACACCACAGGCTTCAGCCGCCCGTTGGGGTGGGGCTTGGACTTTTACTTGGGATGAAATCTGTGAAGTGCTGCGTGGGAGACACCCACGCCGCCGCGCTGCTTGGCCCCGCGTCAGCCTTAGGTAGCTGATGTCCTATCCGTTTACAGTCAAAGCACGGGGAAGTTGGCCCACTCACCCTGAGTGCACAGCCAGTTAAACAAGCCAAGGAAGACAAACAATGCACAGAGCATGGAGGGAATTCCTGGCCTCCGGGAAGGGGATGCAGTTTTACTTTTTATTTTTTAACTGGGAATTGACAGTGGCAGCGCAGGCCTGTGATCCCAGCACCTGGGAGGCTGAGGCAGGAGGGTCACTGCGAATTTGAGACCAGCCTGGACTACATAGTAAACTCAGCCATCCTGAATTTTTTCAATTAATTTTATTGAGAAACAAATAGCAATGAGACAGTTTCAAAACCAATTAGTAGGACAGTTTCATTAATTAGTACAGTGCATATTGTTGTTTCGTAGTAGTTATTCATAGTACAAGATGCAGACATGAGATCCTGTCCAAACACTATTAGTATAAATATTTCTTCTCATTAAGAGAAAGTAGCTGTATATCTATTTTGTATATACCGATATAAAATGGTCCTTCATTTATATCACCCCCCCTTTTTTTGGTAGAACTGGGGATTGAACGCAGGCCCCAGTGCTTATTCTACTCAATTATCTCCCTTGCCTCCCAATATAGCCCCTTTTTTGGTTTAGTTTTGTCAGACATACAGCCATCTTGAATTACACAGCAAGACTCTCAAAAAACAACACACACACACACACACACACACACACACACACACACACACACAAGCTGGGACTTGAACCCCAGAAGCTTCACACTGAACCACCACCAGCCCTCCCTTTTATTTATTTTTCTTATTTTCCATAATTTTTTTGAGAGACAAATGGCAATGAGACAGTTTCAAATCAAATTGGTAGGAGAGTTTCAGTAATTAACACATTGCATACTGTCTTCCTAGTGATTAATTGCTGTACAAGATGCGGACTTGATATCCTATTTATAAACACCATTACAACAAATCCCTCTATTCATTGAGAATGTAACTATATATCTTTTTTTATTGCAAATACTGTTTAATTTCTTCTTTAATTTCTTTTACATCAGTTATTTTTATTTTAAAGAAAAAAAATAAAAACAATGGTACAAAATCTCAAAACAAGATTGTAGGAGAGTAACAATGGTTAGTACATTGTGTATTGTTACTGCCAAAGTAGTTTCTCATATTACAAGATATAGGCAAGAAATAATAAACAACATAGGCACAAAC